ACACACACACACACACACACAATATTTCACAATACAGCCTTTCCCACTGCTTGTCAAGATTATTCTCCCAAGTTTTATTTTCTCAAGACACAAAATGACTGTAAAGAAATGGACTGTATGTACCAAAATAGAACTTTGGAGCTTTTGTTTCCCAGGCACCTACTATCCATGAACTTAAACCATCTGTCTTCTCTTTATCTTGTTCTTATCTGTTGTTGCTACAAAAAGGAGCACAAGAAAAGATCTGAGCCTGAGTATTGTGGTTAGAAGATGAAATAAATTGGAGCCCAGGGAAATGAGCTCCTCAACGACTTCTTGGTCAAATCAGAAGAAAAAAATTAGTCTAGATGCTAATGATGATGTGTGCTCAGCATGCCCCATGGCACATGATCAACCCCCACTGAGATGAGAGGAAGGCAGGAGCTATTAACAATTGTGAAGATATATTGGGGAAACTGCAACCCAGAAAGTTAGCCACACGACTGCTAATTAAATACTCAGCTAAGTCATTTATTCTTCCAGGTTACTGTTTAAATCATTACTGAGACTATGAAAATAGGTATTTCTATCTTGGCACAATTATATACACTACTTCTTAAGTTGTGGCAAAGAATGTATCTTTCTCTCAACTTGTTTCTTTCTTTTCATACACACCAAACCCTTGGGGGCTTCTCAGGGGGCATTAGTGATAAAGAATCCACCCACCAATGCAGGAGATTCAAGAGACTGAGGCTTCAATCCCTGGGTCGGGATGATCCCCTGGAGGAGGAAATGACAACCCGCTCCAGTATTCTTGCCTGGGAAATCCCATGGACAGAAGAGCCTGGTGGGCTACAGTCCATCGGGTGCAAAGAGTCAGACACCACGGAGCACACCCAGCACAGCGCACGCCCTTGGGGGAGAAATTGCCACTAGTTGTTTCCTTTCAATACTGTATTCGGGCTTTATGTGGATCTTAAGTTTGCTACTCTTTATAGGGAAGATGCTATAATTAATGCAAGGCAACTTCCATTTGCTCATCACTCCCTCCTCTTTTTTGCTCCCCTTGCCAATGGCAACACCAGTAGCAACACAAATAGTACTGAGTTCCATACTCAAGATTGTGCTATGTGTTTCTATACTACTTCAGTGGTTTTCAAAATTTTCCTTCCAATGAAATCTTATCCCAATGCCCAATATGCAAAAACAGAAAAGTAGAAGCTCCCAAAGTCTCTTTGGCCCATTTTCGCAATGGCTGCTTTATCTCATTTAAAACTTCTCCAATGATGTGTGAGTTATTTACTATTATCTTTATTTTAACAGGGCCTTGGAGAACATTCATCACATGCTCAAGGCCACAGAGCAGTAAGATGATGGAGCTGAAATCACATTTATTCAGTCACTATGAGCTTTCTGCATACTTCCTGTGTGCTGGATACAACTGCTGGCACCTGGGATACATAAGTGAGCAAATAGGCAGGGTTTCTTGTCCCTGATGGAGATTGTATTCTACTCTAGTGGATTTGAATGCAGGTTTGTTTAATTCAAAAATGGTGTGAACTTAACAAGATCACTATCCTGGAACTACATGGATTCTTTGGTTTTCTCACTTGTTCAATCAACCTCTCTTTCCTGACCTGAGCCACAGCGGTGTAATTCTCTTTTCTTATAGAGTTGCTTATCTGGATGACTCCTGATCCACTTAAACTGACATATTCTAACATCAACCTCTACCTGCCCTCAAGCTGTCAGACAATCACCAGTGACTAGTAACATTCCTGTGGCTCTTGGAAGCCTACAAAGCTCATTTATATATAGTCTCTTGTTTATTTCTCTTAATTATTTCACAAGATACAACCAGGTCAGGAATCATGCCCCTGTCATACAGTGTACCCTGGAGAAGGAAATGGCAAGCCAATACAGTATCCTTGCCTGGAAAATCCTGTGGACAGAGGAGACTGGCGGGCTGCAGTCCATGGGGTTGCAAAGAGCCGGGAATGACTGAATGACTAACACACACTGAAATAAATACACACAGAGTTTGTAAAGGACAAAGTTACTGAATGGGGGAGGTGTACCTCAGTCTCCTGTTGGAGGGATGTACGATGAGCTCATTTATTTTCTCCAAGTAAATCTGATTTAACATTGAATTTCATATCCTGCTTGACTTCAATCACTCCTGGGGTTCCCTTCCCAAAGCCTTGCCAAGATAACTTACTGTTACATTGTTTGATCCCTTTAGGCCCAGCAATTCTGCCATGCTGGGAGAATAAGAAATCCTTGTTGAGTATAGGAAGCGCATCTGTTCCCTTCTGTGGTCTCCCCATCACCCTGGGCACTGCCAGGGAGAAAGTGATAGCACCCACAGGACTTCGTAAGCCTAAGATCTTTGCTTCTTCCAAAATTACCTGAAATTTCTCTTGCATTTTTTTCCTCTGTGGCATTTTCTCTCTCCCCACTCTCTAGGATACATGAAATAATCGGCTTATAGGCCTGAGTTTTGGAAACAAAGCCAGGAAGGAAGGAATCTCACAGGTAATTCCATCTTAATAGCTGTCACAAACTCTCCTGAGGCAAAAGAGCTTAGAGTTGAAGAACTGTTTGAGAATATTTACTGGGGGGAAATCTATAAATTTATATCTCAAAATTCTTTGGGAGTATGGCTCATGCTTCTTCATTGGTTACTAACATGAGCCAGAAACTGTGAGATGCACAAGGACCGAATCACAGTTTATGCTCTCAAATTCCTAGTTAGGTTAGGTCCATTGTTCCCATTCTGCAGGTCATGAAAGTAAGGCTCATAGAATTTACATCGCTTTTCCAGCAAGGTGAATGGCACGGCTGCAATACAGCACAGATTTGACCTCAGAACTATGGTACTACATCTGTGTTCCTTCTATCCCACTTAACTTCCCTGTCAATGCCACTTCTCTAATTATTGGGGAGCTACTATTGGTTGCCCACTATCTTTCACTGCTTCCATTCACTGTTAGGGAATTAGAGGAATTTTTCATCCAAATGTTCCTGGCTTCCTTTAATAGGCTAACCAAGTTGCTCTTCTATATGTATGTGGTGTTTTGCTTCTTCAATATCATTTTGCCTTAAGTCAGAACAGTTCTGTCTGTGATCAAGGGTCACTGTGTCAAGACCAGGGCCTCTTATACACACATGTGCAGGAAGATATTTCCCTATGGGTACTCACTAAGAATTCACATTCATGACATCTTTCCCTAGATGTGTGGGTTCAGTGGGTCCAGGGAGGATTCTGGGGACTCATCTTCAGCAAAAATTCAGATAATTGTGGGAAAGGTAGCCTATGGTGCCTCCTTTGAACATCACTCCTCCAGCCTATCCTTTCTTGACTTTGTCATTTGTGCTTACTCAAGTCACTGCTTGTTTGGTTACAAGGACCCAGAACTCTCGGAAGCTCACTTGTAAAGAAAGTTGACTGAAAAGAAGGACAAGGAGACATTCTGAGAAAGAACACAGCCAACTTGAGTACGGGATGCTGTCAAAGAGCGATTCTGTTTTGTCCTTTAAGGCTCTGTGGGTCCTTGTCTCCTCCATTTGTTTAGGGTTGCATCAGAGTATGTCTGCTCCATCTTGTCTCTGTAGAGCTTCTTTGTTCTATTTGCCAATGGCCTTCACTGGGCTTCCAGGGGGCTGAGATGGTAAAGAATCAGTCTGCAATGCAGAAGACCTGGGTTCAATCCCTGGGTCGGAAGATCCCCTGGAGAGGGAAATGGCAACCCACTCCAATATTCTTGCCTGGAGAATCCCACGGACAGAGGAGCCTGGAACCCTACAGTCCACAGCGTCTCAAAGAGAGTTGGACACGATTGAGTGACTAACTCTTTCACACTTTCACTTGACAAGTCTGACCTGGGTCCTAAATTTGACATATCACTGCATCACTCTCACTAAACACAACCTCTGTATTGTTTGCTTCAAGACATCATACAAGAATCTGACTTGTTCAGCTGAACTGTCCATGGGCAGCTGCCTTTGATCCAGTGGCCACCCTGGTGTAATCATTTGAGGTTATGTTGGCAGGTGGCAGGGTACATGGTCCTGTACTGCATGTAAATCTGCTGCAGAATCAGGAATTAGGAGCACGAGAGAAGCTTCCTGAGAAGATGGCTGGGGGTGGAAGCGAAATCACAACTACGGCTACTACAAAGTCATTGCCAGAGAAATTTTAAGACTTAACTTTTTATCTTGTCCATTCTCTGCTCACCTGTTTTCAGTTCTCTCTAACTGCTCCCTCCTAAACATGGGGCCCAGTCAGAATGGTTCTTCTTAACAGTTATAGCCATCTGTGACCTGGGCCCACTCTATTTTTCTTTTCTTCACCTGAAATCAGCTTCCACAGGAAGACCTCTACTCCTTCCATTCCTCCAAAGTGCCATGGGATGTTTCCACTTTCTCTCTGTTTACTTCCTTTTTCTGTTAAACCTGAATGCCCTTATGAGACCCTTCAAGGTCACTTATCCCTCAACCATTCTGTGTGACCTATTCTGATCTTCATTACATTTGGTTGTGTGTTATCCTATTTCACACCACTCATCTTCTTTCACCAAAGAGAATTATTTGAAGGCAAGAATTATATTCTACACTGCTGGCTTCTTTAGAGCCTAGAAGCAACAAGTCCACCAAGAAAATAAAACAAAGCAATGGAGACTGATTGAACTGTCATCACAATCATCCTACGAACTTTAATACTACAGTTCAATCTTATTTTTTGTCAACCCAGCTAAAAGATTAGGCCCACAGGATACATTATTTCCTTTCATTTTATTATTATTTTCTTTTCTACCATGCTAAAGTTATTTTCATTCAATTGGTTGAGTTAAAATCAATATTTGTTGATAGTCACAGGGAACAATATAGTGATACAATTGAACAAAATTCAAACTTTAGCTAAGATGTCATTGCTATAAAGACTTGGAAAGTCTTTGAAAGCAGACGAAAGCAGCCTGCCAACACTCCTACATGAGCTAATTAATTTTAAAAGATATTACCTCATAACCAAGTAAGTGTCCATTGCTCAATTTCCAAGGAATGGCATTCCATGAAACTTCAATTTCTGAGGAAGATAGGCTATTTGCAGAAACTTGAGATGGAGCTATTGTAGGCTCTGTTTGGGAACAGAATGTGAAATACAGTTATAATTTTGATAGTTAATTTTAAAAATCTACTGAAGTTTTTATTAAAAAAATTTTAATATATTTGAAAAATACTATAAAATACTCTTTAAAGATATTTGAAAATATGAACCATGTCTTGGTCATGTCCCATTTCCTAGGAAAAGATGGCATCATAACCACAGGCTTTCTCTTGCTGAACAACCAGAACAACTCTACCCCCCTCTCTGGCACTCCCTTCTTGGTATACTACTTTTCTCCCTTTTTTCCCCTTTGTTCTTTCCACTATATCATTATTTCTCTCTTTTTCATCCTTCAGCCCCTGTGGGAAATCCTATGTCCATAAAGGCTACCTATTTTTATTTTTGGCCTTGAGAAACAAAAGTCAAGGTCTACAGAATTCATTTACTCAGTAAGCATTTAGTGAGTGTCTTGTCCAACCAGGATCACAAGAGGGGCAAAGTTCAATGAGATCCTGTAGTCTTCTGAAGAAGGAGATAAACCTGCACAGAGCTATTACACAGTACAGAGATCCCCTTGGTAATGGAGAACTCCTGGGGTTTCACGACACAGCTCTGAGTAGACATGTCTCCTCCCCCAGTAATCACTTCTTTGTTAAAGGATCCTACTTCCTGGCCATGGCTGATGGATACTGACAGCCTGGTCCAAGGATGGGCCTATTAGACACCTTTCTCTTGAGAACATGGGTTTGGAGAAATAAGGAAGACTTGAGGCCAGTCAATCAGCCCTGGTGCCCTGGAGAAGCCCTAGGTTTCTGAGGGCTCAGAGCTTCCTTGATTAAGGCTCTTCATGAGGTCTGCTATTTAATACCCGCCCCCCTCCCTTTGATTCAGTGAAATGTCTGAGGATATTTCCAATAACTCTCGCTTTTTTCAAAGACCAGTCAAGTCAGATTCTGACACCTGGATCAGACAGAAAGACCTTTAACTGACTCATCATTGGTGGCAGGAATGATAACAGGAGAAGGAACGTGCAGGAGGCAAGAGGATAGTAAAAGGCTCTGGCTGTTGCCTCCCTCCTAGCTGCCAGCCCCCCTCCTGTCTAGGATGCACAGGGTGGACAGCACCCCAAAGCTCCCTGGTCAAATACCATCACTCTCCAGACCCCTGATCTGCCTTTGTAATGATAATCCTTTTTAGTAACTCTTGGAGAAGAGTTCTGGCTATGAATTTAAAAGCTCCTTCTGCTGCAAAAATTTTGATAATGCCTTTTCCTTTTTCTCTCAAAACTTGGTGGAAAAAGAACAAAAATAAGGGGTGATAGTATGATGAAAAAGTGAGCTTTCCTTACTTGTTTTTAGGAATGACAACTGTGGACCCATTTCTGCAATTTACTGTAAGGCTTGGTGGATAGAGGAGATGCTGTGAAATCATATTTCATGAGCTCAGACTACTCAAGAGCAAAAGCCTAAGTTAAAATACTAGCTCAATAGGTCTGTATGGATTTTGGCAAATTCATTAATTTTTCATCAAGCTTCCATTTTCTCCTATGTAAGCGGGAAATGACAATAGTACCAACACATTATTCCTCTTTGGAAAATTCAAATTAGGTAATGTCTGGCTCATAATAAGCATTCAATACTTGTTACTCCTGTCATTCTAATTAGGTAGAACCACATGAGCTACCAAAAATTCAGCTGCTTTTGACCTACAAAATGGCTTTATAGACTTCTCCTAACACTACTATTATTTTCTAAAGAGGTGCAATAACTGGGACAGAAAGGCAGACAAAGGGAATGAGTCCAGAGTGGAGTGTGTGTGAGTCTATACCAAATGGAACTGGTGAACCCCATCCTCGAACCTGAACATTCTGTGCTTCACCAATGTCATACTTGTGACATTGTAAATGTCAATCTGCTAAAGCCTCTCTTTCAGCTCTTAGGAACCACTTTATAACTTGAGACTAGAGCACTTCAAAGAGAGTATCTTAATCTTACCCCCAAAAGAAGAAAGCTCTGGAAGGCAGAGCCACTCCCTGCTTCACAGACTAGAATTCAATGTATTCCCCCTAAACAGATGTTTAACTAATTGTGAACCCCTCTGACTATTCACTGAGTTTCACACTTCAGGTAAGCATGGTTGATCTTTATTACCTGGCTGAGGACTCTAACTGTGACTTCAAACATTCTTCTTTTGAAGAAATACATCTGAATTCACAAAGAACTTCCAAATTGGGGTTTGGGATCACAATTGGATTATTATGTTTGGAACTGATAAAAAGAGCTTCCTCCGTTTATGATGAGGTTACATATCAACAAACACATCGTCAGTCAAAAATATAAGTTGAAAATGCATTTAATACACCAAATATACTGAAGAGCATAGCTTAGCCTGTGCTGTGTGTACTGAGTTGCTTAGTCATGTCCTACCCTTTGCGACCCCATGGATTGTAGCATGCCAGGCTCCTCTGGCCATGGGGATTCTCCAGTCTACAATACTAGACTGGGCTACCATGCCCTCCTCCAGGGGATCTTCCCAACCCAGGTCTCCCATATTGCAAGCAGATTCTTTACTGTCTGAACCACCAGTGAAGCCCAAGAATACTGGAGTGGGTAGCCTGACCCTTCTCCAGGGGATCTTCCCAACCCAGGAATCAAACCGGGGTCTCCTGCATTGCAGGCGGGTGGATTCTTTACTAGCTGAGCTATCAGGGGAAGCTCTAGCTTAGCTTAGCCTATCTTAAACAGGCCCTGGACAATTAGATTAGCCTCCAGTTGGGCAAAATCAATTAATACAAGGCCTATTTTACAATAAAGTGTTGAACATCTCGTGTAATTTACTGGCTACTGTACTTGAAGTGAAAAACAGAATGGAGAATGGTTAAATGGTACAGAATGGTCATACGTGTATCCACTGTTGACCCCTGTGGTTGCCTGGCCAACTAGGAGCTGTGTCTACTGCTGCCCAGCACCCTGATACATTATTTGACTCCACATCACCAGCCCAGGAAAAGACCGAACCAAAGTAAAATTTCCACTGAATATGTGTCCCACTTCACACCATTGTAAAGTTGAAAAATCATTAATAGCCTTTCCATACCTTCTTCTGCAGAGAAAACTGTTGTCACTGGGCTAAACGGTCCCTCACCTTTGTTATTATAAACACCCACTTTAACTTCATACAGTGAAAATGGCAGGATGCTTTCATTCCTAAAGACGTATCTTGGGGTATCAGGAGATGTGACCACTGTCTGGATCCAGTTGGTTACTCCAAGAGGGCGGAAAGCAACAACATACCCAAAACCTTCACCATTCTGTAGTTCTTCAGGTACTGGCTATAAAGAAAAGACATATTAAATCACACTTCCACGTGAGGGCATGGTAAAAATAAATTCAGCTATAATGTGGGGTCTTTTCTAAAAGTCATTAAATAATCATCTTCATTGTACTAAGTGGCTGGATTAAGAAAAGAGAAAAGGGACAGGGAGACAGTGAGCTGCTTTAAAATAGACACATGCCACTCTTTCATAGCCATCCAGATAACTAACTAGAATTTTCCAAAATAATTTAGATTTTTGAGCATCCTGTAGCCCCATTTGAGTTCTGAGTGATAAAGATATACTTTTAGTTGAAATACTGCATCTCTAAATTAAATAAAAATTATCTCCTCCCTAATGTTGATCTTATAGAAAAAATTATATATTGACATGATAATTCAGTGCAAGAATAAAACTTTAAGAAAGGAAGTAAAAACAAGGTTTTAAACTCAAAGCTGTATTTGCATCATGTCAAAAATTTCTATCGATACTCCATGATCTCTTGACTTCTTATTTCTCCATCAACATCTTCAAAAAAGAAAGACAACTCTAGTGCCTTCTGGCTTTGTTAGTTAACATTCTTCCTAATTATGACATAAAGCAAGGGCTGAGAGAATGGCCAGAAAGCAGCACTGCCTGGAGCAGTGGCATGTGCATCATCAGTGGGGGAACAGCTCCAGAGTCAACAGTTAAGACTTGACTCATTCCCAGCCAGATGACCTTGGGCAAATTATTTAATATCTCTATGCCTTAGTGTTTTTAACCTAAAAAAAAAATGTTGTAAGCATAAAATGAAAAAAAAAGCAAAATGCTAGGAACAGAGATTAACACAAAATGAACATTAAAATATATGAGCCAGTATTAATAGCTCTACCACCATCACTAGCACCACCAGCATCACCCAGGAAGCCAGGGCTGTGGGAAGACCATCACCCTAAGGGGGCAGACGCTGCCCAGACACTTACATCCCAGGTGATCACCAGTTCAGACCGGCTCCCACCTCCTCCACTGACTTCTGAAGGAGGCACTTCTGGCACTACACAGGTTAGAGAGAAGAGATGAAACCCTATTCACATTTGGTAATATTTATCGGAAAGAAGATTCAACATTGTTTACTTTTAATATCTGAATAATTCTACAACTGGCATATTACGTGTGCAGATGTGCATATACATGCAATATGTATGTGTGTATATCTAAATATATTTATCTTTTGGGGAGATAATCACATGATTTACATTTGCATAAAATTATGAAAGATTCAAAATATCTCAAACAGTAAGAAAAAATTACTCAGTATGAAGGTTAATAAAATGAGAAAAAGTATTTCATGAGGGATTATGATAAATCAATCCAGCATGGAAATTTTTTCCCCAAGTGTTAAAGCTACTTTTTTTTAATTGAAATATAGTTGATTAACAATGTTTTAGGTGTATAGCAAAGTGATTCAATTATAGACATATATACATACATATGTACACACACATATATATATATTTCAGATTCTTTTCCCTTATATTATTGCAAGATATTGAATACACTTCCCGATGCTATACAGTAGGTCCTGGTTTTTTATCTATTTTATATATAGTGGTGTGTATCTGTTAATCCCAAATTTCTAATTTATCCTGCCCCTTTCCTTCTAGCTTTGGGAACGTTTCTTTTCTATGTCTGTGAATCTATTTCTGTTTTGTAAATCAGTTCATTTGTACCATGTTTTTAGAGTCCACATATAAGTAATATCATATGATATTACAGCCTTTCTTGCAGCCTTTCCTTCTGCCTTAATTTTACTTGGTATGATAATTTCTAGGCCTAACCACATAAGCATGAACATTTAACATGTGACTACTCTAAGTAAAGATAGAATTCTCAGAACACTGCCTTTATATGAAAATGACTCACATTGAAATCTCCAAATCCTGTTCTTTTATGAATCTCACACAGGCATTCGATTTCTCACTAACAGAAATGTATATTTTGTAAATCTCATGACACACCCAGAGTATAAGATAGCTAAAGTTGGTCCTTGTTGTGATCACAGCCGTACCCACTGTACCTACAAAGTGCTCAGCACACAGCAGATACTTCCTAAACATATTTCTGTGAATAAATGAACAGAGTCTCAAGACAGACATGGCTCCCCAATTTCTCATAATCCCTGGCACGAACATTCTACGCATTGTCCTAAGTGAAAAAGCATCATGAAAATTACTGAAATATATCCCATGACTGCTATCTTGGCCTTGTTCCAAAGTGATATATTGGCTGTATTTCAAACATAATTTTAGTCTACAGATTCTGAAAAGCAAAGTCTTAAGTCCTGTCTGATGCCTCAATAACATGATAACATACACAGTTTCTGTTCTGCGGTTTCAACGTTAGGCTGTTTTTAGCATTACAAAGGGGTCTTATAGTTAATATTAATAGTTGCCCCTCATGAAAATTTTAAAAATAATTCTCTCTTAATTTAATACTGAAGGAGCCAAAATATACCAATTCATCAATCACTTAAGCTCATTCACTGAGCTTGGAGGGCAGAATGAGATTTCCTAGCAGCTGATCTCCCAAAAGTCATTATCCTACCAATTTGTCAATGCTTGTTATAAATGAAAACAGCACTTCCTCTGTTAACAGGATGACGATGTCAGATAGTAATTATAACCTTAAGTGACAAAAACATAGTCACTCTACATGCACTAATGAAGGCCGGCGCTGGACTGAACTCTTGCAAATGTCACACTACATCAGATTCACTTACACGTGTGTCTTTTGACAAATGCCATATGGCCAGTCTGCCGTGAGATAGGTCAGATAATTGCAACGAGGCATTATTGAGGCTGAACCCCTGCCGGTCTGGGGATCAAGGGCAAAAGTGGAAACACACACCGAGGAAGACCTATGAAGCCACGACTCAGAAAACAAAAACACTAACCTGCCTCTTCAGTTCTTACTTTTTCTGAGGGTAAACTGGGTTCTCCACCTCCGATTTTGTTACTGGCTACAACCCGAAATTCGTACTCCACCCATGGATTTAACTCGACTACCGTAGCTGTGTGTGTTTTCCCATCAATGACCTCAGGCACTACAAAGGAATATTTCAGAGAGGTAAACGTTTGCGCATCTCAGGGTTGATCTGAAATCCATTCGTTTGCACCAGTGGCATGTGCCGCTGCCCCTTTACCTGTTGTGGCTGTTTGCCAACCCACTGAGAAGGCCGTCCTTGCCTGGACAGAATAGGCTGTAACTGGGCTGTGGTTGTCTGTACCTTCTTCCCAAGAGAGCTGGGCTGTTGTGTCTGTAATTTCATCTACCTTCACGTTCTCTGGTGGCCCAGGTGAACCTATGCAAGGCAAAAACGCAAACAGCAGTTCAGTTCAGGCCAGTTACTCAGTCATGTCTGACTCCAGTCAGCAATTCCATAAACCAAAGGGAAGAACCTGCCTCATGACATGTGAATACCTCCAATGGATCCCAATTTCCCTGGCAATAAACAACCATTTTCTTTCTTTTGCATTCCTATTGTTAGATATTAAATCTGGATTTTGAGCCATAAATTCCAAAGGCGTAACACTCCATGACTGCAAATGACATCTGCTTTTTGAGTCTTCTGTTTGGCAGGATTCCTGTACCTTTCCAAATTCAATAACCTTCACTTTTGCGTGAGCCTTTTTTTTTTAATCTCCTGGGACATCTCTGAAGTTTCCAGTTTGTTATCTAGAGCTGTTTTATTCTACAATGCACTCTGGGTCATTTTTCAGCCCAGCAGCAAATCAGTACTTTGGACAGTAGCTCAAATTGGCAAATTTTCTCAGTCATTCTGGATGATCCTGGTTTTCTGGAAGTACACACACACATACAACACACACACACACTATCACTATTCTCTTTCACATTAAACACTATCACTGAATTAATGACATGTTCAAAAACACATCAGCTTGTCAGCAGCTGTGGAATGCTGATTACTGTGAGAGCTATTGGAATGACAGAATCGAGATTTTTATTTCTTTGAATTAGCATCAGTCCTCATTGGTACATCTTCTGGTCTATTTGGGTGGGGTGGGGATCAAATCAATATTATAACTTGCATGCTCATATTGCTATCTCATCATGGTTTTTTCTTCAGCAAGGAAGGCTCCATTAACATGTTTAAAACAAAACAAAACAAAACAAAAAACACTGAGCCATTAATGCTTACCTCTTACTATGAGGTCAGCGGCAGATGAAACACTGTCTACCCCCGTCTGCACCATACAAACATATTTTCCACTGTGCTTCAACTGAATGTTTCTGATCATTAAATCACCTGATGAACTCTGTTGGAAAACACAGGTAATGAACATATTATTATTCAGAAAACACACTGAGAATCTTAAAGGCCATATTCAACAACACCATTGGGACAAAACCCATATTTAGAGAGAAGACCTAGGTGGTTACAAAACAGAAGATTGCGCCAATGGAAAGTATGGAAATAAAAACAAGTTAAAAACCATACATGACTGCAGACATAGGTTTTTGTAGCTAAATAAATGACAAGCTTTCCCCTGAGCATTTATGGTTTCACAGATAAATAAGGGCAGAGATTACAGTCTCAGAGTCTATTTACTTCCACTAGGATGACACTTCTTTTTATATCCACTGCTCAGCACCAGCTCAACTCTTTCTCTTGTTCCAGCCTCTCTGCAATTATCTGCCTGAGAAGAAGAGGGAAGCATTTAGCTATCTGGTGGGAGATAAATGCAGCACGACAAGGGGATTACCACGGTTGAGACACTTTTCTGAGCTCTTTGAAGCTTAAAAAGCTTAATGCTGTTTAATTCCTTTGCTATAGAATTTAGGGACAGTCAGTATGAACTCTTCAGTAAGAAGAAATTAAACATTTTAAACCAAAAAATAATAGCTGCCCATAAAGACACTGGCTGGCATTCCCAGTGCCAATTAATGAAGCAAATGTATTTCTAAAAGCTCAACTTCAAATAGTCCTCATTTTAAAAGAATGTAAAATCATGTTCATAAAATGACTAACTACAGGCCAGTTTCATGCATTAGTAAAAGTATGAATTGAAATAAAATGATTTGGAAAGCAAAGCCTTTTGAAAAGGATCACTTACTGGGAAAATCTCTAAACTGGTACAGACAAGGAAGCAATGAGTGGTTTGTCTTATAAATTAAAAGGGTAATTTTACTTTTGGGTTTTCCTAGTATTTGTTGAAAGATGGATTCCACTATCTTGTTTTCAGGTAATTTCCCAAGATCTTATCTAGGGTGATTTCTTAAATATTGCTTCAAATCCTTAGGACTTTAAATGGCCTATACATTCTCTGATGGTTTGGACAGTATGCCTTTAGCATGATTTTCTTGAGTACTGGGAATAGACAGATGGGAGGTGATTGATGGCTGTAATTAAATAATAATCCAGAAACTGTTAAGTTTGCACATTTTACTTTCTTCAAGTTAAACTTTTTCCTTTCTCTCCTTCTCTCTCTTTCTCCTCAGGGTTATTTAGAAATTTATCCCTAGGACAAAACCTTCAATGCTTGCTGACCTTTAGAAACTCTCAGGTTTTATGAGCTCCATAACCTCACAGGAGGTTGATTATCATTTCTATAGAAATCTCTTATTTTCAGTGAAGTAAGAACTGTTATGATTAAATTCCATTAAGGCATTAGGGTAAGCTATTATTATTTCCTGTGTTTACTTGCTTATTTTGAAAGCAGCTGCGTAAAAAGGGGCTGAAAGCAGGATTTTTCTTTATGTCTGTAGATTCATGAATACAGTTTATAGGCACATAAGCTGGTTTTGCTTCTTGAAGAAGTTAAAAAAAAAAAAAGACTGATGTTGAGTTTGTCATTTCTGTTCATTTCAGTACTGATGGGTGAAGAGAGACATAACTTAGCTAGTTTATCTAATACCCAAACCATCTTCCTGAAAAAATACAGCTGGGCTCACGATCAAGGGAAATGTAACTTTTAATTATTTTTTACACTGAAAGTGAAAACGGAAGCAATGAACACGCAGACAAGGAACAATTGAGTTTTTCTTTCAGAACCAACATGAAATGATGTTGATGAACACATTAATGAAAAATAAAATGAAGCAAAAACTAAGAAGGATCCTGTCCTTAGTTTTTTTCACAGTAGACTAAATTTATATTATTCCTCTTCTAGTGCTTTTTCTCTCTCACCCTATCTGTTGTCTTTTAATGAAGCAATATAAAGAGTTAAGATTGATCTTAACAAAATTTCATTAAATGCTTGCCATATATGATTCACTGGAGGTTAGAGAAGTGCCTTATATATAACCTCTGCTCTGTAGGATAGAAACCTAAGTCAGGGTTTTATGTGTGTGTGAAAAAAGTTATGTTTACAAATTTATGGAAGTTTATGTAATAAAGGTTCAATAAATCACATGGCACATACCATATATATACAACCTCAGAATGAAAGAGGAAAGAAATTTCCAGTTCCGCTGAGGATTTGGAGCAACTGGAACTCTTATTATTACTAATGGGAGTGCGGACTGGTGCAATTACTCCCATTGTTTAGAAGTATCTACTGTTTAGAAATATCTACTAAGGCAGGATATAAACATAATCTACAACCCGGCAATTCCACCCCATTACATACTTTACAGATATGTGTGCATATGCTCATCAAAGACATTTATAAGAATGTCTGTGGTAGTACTAACTGGAATAGCTAAAAGATGGAAACAATCTAAAGTCCATCACAATAAAGCAGCTTAATAAGTAGTGAAATCTTCATTTAACAAAACACTAACAGACCATGAAAATCAATGAACTATAACTACACAGAACATGCACAGCCAAGCCTCAACATAAATAAAAGATATAAATCAGATAGAAAAGAGTAAAATGATACTGACCTATCATATTATAAATCTGGATTGTGACTATCTTTGGTGGGATAGTTAGTACTGCAATGAAGCAATCACTAGGACTTCTGGAGTAGGGGTTCCTTTGCTTCTGGATTTCACTGTTGTTTACTTGAATGGGTTCATTTTGTGAAAACTCATCAGGCTATGCATTTATAGCTTGTGTATTTTGGGGGAGAACATAATAGCTCTCAAGATGCAGTTCTTCTAATGTGTAACTATGGCTCTAAAAGCACCACTGTAAATAGGACCATAGTTTAAGTGGTCAAAAAAACATGGCTGTAATTCTAAACTTCAATTTCTTTCACAAGAATAAAATGCTTAATAATAATAAAAATACTATTAACTAGACCATTTGATACTTTATTATTAAAATGAAAATGACTATGCTCAGACATTAAAAAAAAAGATAAAAACGGACAAGGGAATTCCAAAAGGAAGTTTCACTTTGACCAAACCAATCTTGTCCCCATCAGTTTTCACTGTTAATGGTTAAACTACATGTAATTAATTACTGATTATAAGAGAGAATAGGAGAAGAGTGTCCAGAAAAAATCCAAATAGAATTAGTCTATTCTCTGTATAATAGCCCTTGATAGATTATTTTTCAATATAGTCATCAGTAAAATTATATCTATTATTTAGAAATATTTAGAAACAAGCTTGTAATCCCTTGAGTGTAAACAGAATTCACACAAAGCAATTTACAAACATTACAAACATTAATACTCTTTGAATAAATTCTTAGGAGCACAATAACTCTCTGAATAAAAATAGCTCCTACTTTATTATCTCTTAAATTAGTGCTTTAGTCTTTCTTTATACAGTTTTCCTAAATTCTCCTTCCCCCCACCTCAAATAGAATGGACTAGAATTAAAATACAGAAGCAAATCTTCATTTCCCTATTCCTATTTCCCTTAAAACATCTACCTCAAACTGTAGCAGTATAATTTCAGTCTTTCAGAAAGCAAGTTTTATTTCTATGCTGCTGATCATAGCATTACTTGAAAATGGAGCTTTTCAGTAATAGAAGAGCCCTGTTCCTACAGGTTAAACAGGGTTTTAAGATGAGGCAGACATTTCCCTAAGTCATATGAATTTTAGTTCTTTCGAAAAAGCACTATCTTTTTAAATATGATCATTGATTCAAAAAATATTCATTAAACAATGGCTATACTTTAGTCACTGGGGATACCATGGTGAGGGAAAAAAAACAACCAAAAAACAGTCCTTATGTTCATGGAGCTTAAAGCTGAAAGATTAATCAAATGACTACTACAGTCAGTCATTTCAGTCGCTCAGTCGTGTCCGACTCTTTGCGACCCCATGAATTACAGCACACCAGGCCTCCCTGTCCATCACAAACTCCCGGAGTTTACTCAAACTCATGTCCATCGAGCCGGTGATGCCATCCAGCCATCGCATCCTCTGTCATCCCCTTCTCCTCCTGCTCCCAATCCCTCCCAGCATCAGGGTCTTTTCCAATGAGTCAGCTCTTTGCATGAGGTGGCCAAAGTATTGGAGTTTCAGCTTCAGCATCAGTCCTTCCAATGAACACCCAGGACGGATCTCCTTTAGGATGGATTGGTTGGATCTCCTTGCAGTCCAAGGGACTCTCAAGAGTCTTCTCCAATACCACGGTTCAAAAGCATCAATTTTTTGGTGCTCAGCTTTCTTTCTAGTCCAACTCTCACATCTACACATGACCACTGGAGAAACCATAGCCTTGACTAGATGGGCCTTTGTTGCCAAAGTAATGTCTCTGCTTTTTAATATGCTGTCTAGGTTGGTCATAACTTTCCTTCCAAGGAGTAAGCGTCTTTTAATTTCATGGCTGCAATCACCATCTGCGGTGATCTTGGAGCCCAAAATGACTACTACAAATCAATGTAAAAGTACAGTGTAATGCAAGGTCAAAGTATGCAGACAAATCTATGACTTTCTGGAGTCTCAATATAGTTAGTATCTGCAATAGGAACAGAAGCTATCTAGCAAAAGAGGGTTAGAAAAAATGGTCTATACTAGAGACTTACAGAGAAGGCAATGGCAACCCACTCCAGTGTTCTTGCCTGGAAAATCCCCGGGACGGGGGAGTTGGTGGGCTGCCATCTACGGGGTTGCACAGAGTCGGATATGACTGAAGTGACTTAGCAGCAGCAGCAGCAGAGACTTACACATATGCAGAGACTCTAAGACAGGTGAGAAAATAGTCTACTTTGAGAGTGTGAGGGGTAGGGTATGTCAGGGGGATAATCAATTCACAAATCCAAACGAATAAGCCTCCCCCACTACCAAAAGCTCCACTTAATTTTGCTGTAGCTGATTTCAGGTTCATACTCATGTCTTAATGACAGTACATTTTATTTTTATATTTGAAAAAACTCAAAAAGCTTTGCTAAGTAATTAAGAATTACTTAC